TTTCAGTGGCAAGAGCAAGGCAACGGGCACAAACTGCAACAGAGAAGGTTTCAGCTGAAGATCAGGAAACACTTTTTCACTGTGAGGGTGGCTGAGTACTGGCACAAGTTGCCCAAAGAGGTGGTGGAGTATCCTCTCCCTTGTTGGAGATATTCAGAAGCTGCCTGGATACTGTCCTGCATTAGGTAGCCATGCTTGAGCAGGGGGGCTGGACCAGATGAGCACCCAGAGCCCCCTTCCAACCTCAACCACTCTGTGTTCAGCACATTGCTGAGGAGAAAAAAGTCAAATCATATCTAGGCAACTGCAGTTTCTGATCTCTGGCACCCTAAGTACCCAATCCATCTAGAACTTCAGCTTGGATTTCATACCAGGGTCAGGCATTATCAGTACATAAAGCTGAACTCTTGCTTTCATAGGCATCCTTACTTCTGTTCTTCTGGATGACACCTGCTCACAGGCTACATATCTTTCTCATACCTACTCTGACTTAAAACAATTATGTTTAAAGCTGAAATTCAGAGATGACAATCTCTAACCAATACAAAATATTTATACATTTATATATTATGCATATGTTTGATAGCTATATTAAATATGCTTACTGTACTGTGCATAATATTTTATGTATATAAAGTATTAATAAAACTGCCTTCACAATTTGGGGGGCTGCTACTGCTCTTCCCTGAAGCCCAGTTTACAGCTTCACTCCTAATCCAAAGTAGCTAGACCTGGAACTTCACATTACTATGTTAAAGCAAAAGTTTCATGCTGTCAAGAACATCTGGACAGCCACATTCCTCAGATCAGAAAGTTCATCCTGAGACAAGCATTAAGAACTGGGAACCAAGCACTCCTGTCAGAAGGATTCAAGTATATTTATTCCCAGAAGCAAGCAAATCCAGAGCTGATGACAGACAGAAAACACTTGTACGAGTTTTCTTCCAATCATGATTTGACACTTCTACTTTAAGTCGTCTTCTGATATTTATTTTTAAGCACCTAAAATAAAGAACTAGAGCCCAGGACTCCTACAACTTGACTGGGAATTTTGCTGTCATTGTATATAAAATGTGTATAGATGTTAACAGAAACTAGGAGCATGAGGGGGAAAAAAATTAATCACCATGATCATTTTCACTCCTACAGAAAGGATCAAATGTTACTCAGACACAAGAATAAGGACAAAACTACTTACTCTTTCACTAAAATCACAGGACATAAGCATACAGTAGTTTGGAATCACATCTTCACTATTCTTTGCCCACAGAGCCCTTCATAAAATTTTAATTCAGGTGCCACAGGTACTCATGAACAAAGGATATGGAAACCTTACAAAACTTGGAAGCTTTAATGGAGAGCTTCTCTTTTCCTTCCCCCAAAAGCTAATGCTGTTGGAAAGTCACCAGGAAAAACACCTTATATTTTGCCCTTAGAGGCTCAACTAGCTCCAAGTTATGCAATGATTTGTCTGGCAACTTGAAAATGCCTTGCTCATACTAATGTTGCTTATTGACACCTTCATGAAGGACAGCAAGCCACAAACCTACTACAGGAGCTTCGGACAAGACAGCATGCACGGGCTGGATGCAGCACTGTGAACATCTGTATTAATCCTGCAGTAGCTAAAGAGCAATAACTGGTACTGATCACAGCACAGAACACCCATGTTTCACTAGTGTTTGAAAAAATGCATCAGTTCAGCCTCAAAGCATAGAAATACTGCACCAAACCATGGGGCAAGATTAGAAGGGTTATTGTAGTTCACTATATACCAGGTTAGTGGCAAGAATGGAACTAAAGATGAATCATACAGAGTGGTTATTGCCGTGGTACACAACGGCAGCAAGACCACCACAGTGCCCCAAAGTTCTGCCTTGGCTGACAAGACAGTTCTTCTTATTGTCTGGGGACTTACTGGACTCACGTTTTCATTTAGCTAAGACTTACTCCCAGCCAGCTGTTGATCTCATTATTGCCGCAGGAGAATAGGAAAACTGATGCTGTAGTTTGGATAAAAGCCCCAAACTAGCAATAAAACCCCCACGTCTTGAAATCTCCACCAGAAGCCTGTCCCACCTCCCTTTTTAGAACAGCAGAAGAAATACAAGACAAAACCGTAACAAGACTTAGTAGTATTCTCAAGTTTAAGATGATGCAAGTGCTGTGCCATATCGTCCCAGACTAGTGTAAAGCTTAGAGAAGACATCTGCCAGCCAGGAGTAACAAACTGCTAATCAGTAATTTTGACTAGAGTAAATGAACTGGAAGCAATTTCGGATTTAACAGCCTTTAATAATCACGTAAGATTTCTCAGTTACTTCCACTGTGGTTTAGTGTTAAGTACAAAACTATCTGCCATGGAAATGGACACAGTCATTACTTGGAAGAGCAAATAACAGCTATATCTCCATTATCCCTCAGCTACCTACTGACATAGGCTGATGGATCTCCTGTGCATACCTCTCTGACTGCAATACTCACTACTCCACAAAGACATAGGCCTAAATCAGTTTTAAGCAGTGGCTATGGTACAGCTTGTAGTAGTTTCAGATATACTTGCATTACATCCACAACAGTGGAAGTGCACTTAGAGATAATCTGACCTACAAAGGGGAAAAACAACTTGAAAAACAGACTTATTGAAAGATGGCAGCCTGTGCCCCAGATAAAAAGGAGAGGCAAAGGGAAGGATAAAAAAATGCAGCGAAGTAACAGCAACTGCTGCTAAATTTCCTTTAACAGATACTGAAAGCAAAGAAACCCAGCTCTCCAGCTTCTTGACAAAGCAATCATAAAAGGTAGTGAGTCTAGGAAAAAGACATTCCTCAAGGCCATAACCAAACATGCTTACAAGATGAAGACAGACAAGCTAGTTGCAAGTCAATTAGAAAACATCTGCTTAAAGAAAAAAACCAAAACAAACCAACAAACAACAAAAACACACCCCAGCTAACTACTCTCAGTCTCACTAAATATGCTGTTTCAGAATACTCCTCTCCCCAAAAATATTTTGCAGCAAAATAAGGAGCAAAGGACTTCATTCTTTGCAGAATAATACCCACTATTCAGAGTGCCCTGCAGTTCCCTCCCCTTGACAAAAGCTGTCAGATCTGGCAAAAGCAGAATAAAAGATGAATCCAGGTCCTGTGATAAAAGGACCTTTGTGAGAAACTGAAAGTGAAGTCCCTTTCTCAACACAGTGATGCACCCAGACTAAGGGGGAAACAAATAGGGAAATAAATTCCAGTGATCTGCCAGCATATGATACTTGCCAAATGTTACTGAGAAAATAAAGTTATTCAGAGTTTTAATGCTTCTACAACTTCTCTCTACTTCTAGCCTACAAAAACCAAAATCCTTTGACATCAACGCTAACAAACGAGATTTGCTCAGCCCACATACTCTGCATGAAACAGCAATGCAAGTCTAACATTTTAATACACCATTTATGTATATTTAAAATTACATTTACATATTTAAATTAGCCTACTACAATACTGGATACAATATTGGGTGAAAACAACTACCATGGTTAAGTCTTCAAATTTCGGTACTGTTTCCTATTATTAAGTATAAAACAGAATAGAAAACAAAGTTTCCAAGTGATGAAGAAAGTCTATTTCAACAGAAGCAGCCAAGACCTGTTGAAAAACACAGGTCATGTATGCTGACATTTAGATGAAACCTTGCAGTAATAAAAGGTAGTCATTCACTACATTTATAAGAAACTGCCTAATAGTTCAGTTGCCAACCCCACTACAGTGATTATTTTAAAAAAAAAAATCCACACAGCACAGCATCCTTGTCTTGCCCCCCAGAAACCAAAAATTTGTGCGTAAGAAGTGACCTTGTTTAAACTATGAGTACTAGAAAATATACAACTCTGCAATAGAAAGAGGTTAAAAAAGTTGAATACTGTGAAAAAAATTTATTAAGTCTATACAAGTCTTCTGAAACAAACCATTGGCTTTGATACAGGAAATTCAAGTGAATACTCATTGCAATAGTATTTTTTCATACAGAGATCAAGAAGCCCTACAGCTTCCCTTTTAGTGTCTGTGACAGAAGTTTTATTTCTGAACAAGTAGCTGCACAAAGCAGACGTGATAGAGATCTTCACAGCCACAGTGAGCTACAGTTGAGACAAAGTTATATTACAAACATTTCGGAAAATCAGGAATCTGTACTGAAGTGTGGCAAATCGATTCACAATGAAAGAACAAAGACATCATTCAGACCCCTTGCCTATAATGAAGACTTTCTGTAGCAAGTCTACAGCAGACTGCCTCATAAAAGCCTAGAGTGCAAGAGTACCACAAATTTAGTATATAAATATCACAGGATTAAAACTCCAGTTAAGCCATCAACTGAAGTGATGATTAAAAGGAAAACATGGCGTCCCCAGCTCTGCAATGGAAGCTTTCAAAGCATCTCTTCCAGAAGGTGCTGATACCAACTACTGCTTGTGCCAATTTGTATTTTAGACAGCTCTGCTGAAAGACAAGTTTAGCAGATTTGTCTAAGGACTGTATAATCCTGCTGTTTTTAATACCATAAAAAAGCATCTACTAGAAGAGATGAAATGGAACATTTATAGCTCACACTGTTTGCAAGATCTGTGCACACTATATAGTTCTATAATTTCAACAGTATTTAAAAATAAAACAAAGAGCAGATAATGCAGTAATGTTTGTTAGATGGATTTGTTTAGAATAGTTTACACAATTAATGTATACAGTTGTAAAATTTTGAGTGCATTTGTTCTTGCACATTATTTATGCTACTTATAAAAACCTGAAGATTGCAAATTGGGCATGCTTACCATAACATTTTCAAACTGGGAAAGCTGCAGAGCATTTTTCCTACAAGTGTTCACTGCCATGATACAAAACAAATATGTGCAAACTGCAAGGTCCCTAAAAATAGCATTTAATGACTTTATGTACAGAAAGATGTCACTATCGGTTTAAATATGCAAAGAATAAGCTTCCCAAAGTTTATAACATAGAACAATATCCACCACATGCTCCTCCTCCTCCATATCCTTCTTCCTTGCTTGATAACTTTACACCCCTGTTTTGGCTTTCACTCTCCCACAGTCCAGGAGTCTGAATGATTTTTTCAACAAGTTCTTCAAAGGCACACTGTACACCATCACATGTTTTTGCACTTGCCTCTGGAGAGGGGACACAAGAAGTCAAGTGTTAGCATAGCTTCTAGTAACTTGCTTAGTATTTCTCTTTAAGTTAAGCCTCAACCTATAGCCTAGACTTAAAACTTCTATAATACATTCTATAAAAACGTAACAGTGCCAAAATTAGCAGGTATGCAGATTTATGTCACCACATAAGGTAGCACCTCAAAAGATTTTTAATAGAAGTGCTTTCAAGTTGAACTTCACCAGAACATACGGAGACTATAAAGCTATAGTTTAGTTTTATTTTTCTGTGGAAAGCACTCCAGCAAAAAAAAGGAGGGTGCTGATAAACCTGGCTGCTGCTCAGTATTCCAGTTCTGTAAATTAGTTGGAACTGCAGCACCACCACACTGTAAGAAGCAAAGAGCCATTCTGCAGGATTCTATGTCAGTCTCCATGATAACTCATCTGATATAAAGTAAAAAGGGATCTAATTTCTTTGGCAGTTAGCAGAATTCTAGGTGATTTCAATCAGGAGCCTTAACTTTGACCAAGACCAAGAAATCTGCTCACAGCAACTGACACCACCAGAAATGGTTCAGTTCCACTGTTCATTTATGCAGCCATGCAGATACTTAACACATGTAGGATGCATA